CATGATTCACCGTCCCCTTGACGTAGCGTAGTAGCCGTTTCACCGCAGCCCAGTGATCCTCTCTGGGATCCTCCATGAAGCGACTGACGTAGCCCACGGCGAACTCAATGTCCGGCCTTGTGTGGACTAGGTAGCGCAGACCGCCGACGATGCTCCGGTAGAGTGTTGCATCCACTTTCGCCGCGGTGCTGTCCTTCGTCAGCTTCAGCCGCTCCTCCATCGGAGTCACGCATGGCTTGCACTCCACCATGTCGCTCCTCTCCAACAGTTTGGAGGCGTACGCGCTCTGCCCGAGCGTGAGTTCCTCCTTCCCTTGCCTCACCTCGATGCCGAGGTAGTAGGAGAGTGCGCCGAGATCGCTCATTCGAAAACGAGCTGCCATCTCGCGCTTGAAGCTGTTGAGGTCCTCCGTGCGTACGCCAGTGACGATTAAGTCATCCACATACACGCCGACCACGAGCTCTTCCTTCCCCCGTCATCGCGTGTAGAGCGCGTGCTCGGTTGCGCACCTCTGAAACCCAAGCTCGCCCAGCGTGGTGTCAAGCTTGGCGTTCCATGCTCGAGGGGCTTGCCGCAGCCCGTAGAGCGCTTTGTGCAGTCGGAGCACCCTGTGCTCCTCTCCCTTGACAGCGAACCCTAGAGGTTGCCTGACGAAGACTGTTTCCGCTAGCTCGCCGTTGAGGAAGGCCGATTTCACGTCCAAGTGATGGACGCGCCATTCCTTTGCTGCCGCCAAAGCAAGTAGCAAACGGACCGACTCCATGTGCGCTACTGGCGCAAAGACCTCCTCGAAGTCGATGCCCTCGCGCTGGACAAAGCCTCGGGCGATGAGGCGCGCCTTGTGCTTGACGATGGCGCCGAGCTCGTCCCTTTTGACTTTGTACACCCACTTCAGGCTGATCGAACGGCATCCTGAGGGTGGATCGACGAGCTGCCAAGTCTCATTTTCCTCAATCGCCTTCATCTCCTCCAGCATTGCTTGTCGCCAGTTTCCATCGCGCTCGGCTAGCGCGAACGTGGGTGGTTCCTCCGCACTGACGAGTAGCAGCTCTGTGTCGTTAAGCAGCCTGGCCGCCAGTCCTGAGGGACCTGTGCCGCCGACGATATCATCCAGCCTGTGGAACCTCAACTCCTCCCCTTCGTGGTAGGCATCCACGAACTCAGTGGTATCACTTGGAGGTGAGACGAACTCGATCGGGGACGATGGAGTTCCTTCTTCCGCCAGAGTGCCCTGCATAGCACCCGAAGTGCTCGGCACTTCTTCTGGACTGCTCGTCATAACTCCTGCAGTGTTCGGCCACACTGTAGGAGTGCCCAGCCTCAGTCTTGGAGTGGTCGGTACCACAGTAAGACGTCTTGGCCCCGCTACGGGAGTGCTCGGCACCCGTCCTGAAGTGGTCGCCACCACTGCAGAACCTCCTGGCTCCACTCCTGACGTGCTCGGCATCCCTCCAGAAGTGCACGACACTCCTCCCGGAGTGCTCGGCATTGCTCCCGAAGTGCTCGGCACTGCCCTAGAAGTGCTCGACTCTACCGCCGGAGTGCTCGGCGCTCCTCTCGGAGTGCGTGGCACCTGTTCCACAACGTCTCCACCGCCGTGGATGACCAAGTGCTCGACGACGAAGGTTTTGGTGAAGCCTCCCGCTTCCCCCATGCTCGGACTGTTCCAGTCCCAAGCTGCCTCCTCATTGAACACAACATCGCGCGAGACATCACCTTGTCTCCGCGAGGGTCATAGAGCCGGTACGCCTTGGTACCCTCCGCGTAGCCTAGGAACATCATGGGTGTGCTCCTGTCCTCCAGCTTGGTGAGGTTCGGCTTCATTTTCCTGACGTGGCCGATGCAACCGAATATCCGGAGGAATGACACGTGCGGCTTGTGCCCGTACCAAGCTTCGAACGACGTCTTGACCGTTAGGGCCTTGGTTGGAGCACGGTTGAGGATGAACACCGCCGTGGTCACCGCCTCTCCCCAGAACTTTACCGGCATCCCTTTGGCCTTCATCATGGATAGGGCCATGCCGACCACTGTCTGGTTCCGTCGCTCCACCACGCCATTCTGTTGTGGCGAATACGGCGCAGTGTGATTTTGCCCCACACCTTGATCCGCACAGTACGTAGCAAACTCCACCGAAGTGAATTTGCCACCCCGATCAGTCCTCAGTACACGGAGCTTCTTGCCGCTCTCGGCCTCCGCGAGCGTCTTGAACTTCTTGATCGCCACCGCCGCTTCGTCCTTGCTCGTCAGGAGTTGCAGCCACATGTAGCGACTATAATCGTCCACGAGCAGGAGGAAGTACCGCCGACCACCGCATGTAGCAAGCGTGATCGGCCCGTAGAGGTTGCCGTGAACTAGCTCGAGAGCTTCCTTCGCGCGATACTTGGCCGCCTTTGGGAAAGGTAGCCTCCTCTGCTTCTTGGCCAGGCAGCTGTCACACAGCTCGCCTCCGTGTTTGATGTGGGGTAGCCCTCGAACCATCTTCCCCAGCCGACCAAGCGCGTCGAAGCTGAGATGTCCGAACCGGACATACCATATCCACGGCTCCTCGGAGTGCCTTGCCGCCAGGCAGACCGGCTGCTCTACCTTTAGGTCGAGCAGGTACAACCGGTTCAGGGACCTCTTCACCTTGGTTAGAAGTCGCTGCTCCCGGTCTCTGATCCTCAGAACGCCGTCCTTGATCAGAACCTCGCTACCGCGCTCATCCAGCTGACCAATGCTGATGATGCTGGAACGCAGCTACGGGATGTAGTATACATCCGTTAGCGCGTGGTGCTCCCCGTTCTAGCATCTGAAGATGATGATGCCGCGCCCTTGGATGGCCACCCTTGAACCGTCACCAAACTTCACCTTACCGGTAACATCACCGTCGAGCTCGGAGAAGGAGTCCTTGGAGCCTGTCATGTGGTTACTATCACCAGAGTCCAGATACCACCGCTGCTCCTGGTCGGCGCCCACACGTCCGAGATGGACTTGGGCGCGTGGTTCGTCGAGGTTGACGGTCTTCAGGGCCTTGCTAGATCCTTCCACCGTTGTCGCCTCTTCCCTCTCCATGGCCTCGACGTCGTGCAGTGCACAGAACGTCGTCATAAGGATAGTGGCCTCATCATCGGCATTCGCTAGGTGAGCCTGAGCCTTCTTTTCCTTCTTGCGATTTGGGCACTCCCGTGCCCAATGGCCCATCTTCCCGCAACACCGACAGGCGTTGAAGTCGATTTGCTTCTTCTCCGAAGAAGCCCTGCCGCGATGTTTGCCGTTGCCACCGCGACTGGAGGAGGTTGCTTTCCTAGAGTTTCACCGAGCAGCCCACCTCTCTCCGTCGATAGGAGTTTCCGCGTCGCCGTTCTTTGTCGCTTTGCTCTAGGCGCTCATCCACCGCCATGCAGACGGCCTGCCACATCCTCGATGGTGAGGGTGGACAAGTCCAAAGATCGCTCTCTATGGAGAGAGCGATCTGGATGTACTTTGCTTGCCGGCATGGAGTGGAGGAATATGGAGACCGCCTCCTCTTCGTCGATGGTGGCCGCGGGCTCTTCACTTCTTGATGAGTCTGCACGGAGGGAAAAGTCCTCCACCGTTTCACCATCCTTGAACTTGAGGTTTGCGTATACGCTTCGCCGAAGTTGGGCGTCGCCTTCTTTGCGCTGGCGTCGGAACCGGCCGACGCCAAGATCGCCGCCGTAATGGCCTCCCACACCCTCCTTAGCTGAGCTTTTCGTCCCCAACGGTTCCACAGACTCACATGCGTACACAGCAGCGAGGATAGCCTCCAACGCCGACATGTCGTCTTCTTCCACGTCGGTGCCCTTGTCAACAGCATTCCGAGCCGTCGGGCTCGAAGCTTGACCTTCATGGTCACCGACCACTCTCCATAGTTAGTGCGAGTCGTCGTCGGCCAAGTGGTGCGGCCGACCTCCCGCACCGTCGCGGACAACTACCTCCGGTAGTGGTCAAGGCAGCTATGACAGTGCCACTGCCGTCGCCCAACTCCAAACCGCATGTCATCGCCATCAGTTAGAATGACGACGACGCTTGTACGAGGCTCTGATACCAGTTGTTGACCTACGGGGTCACCGGCTGACGACAGTGAACCAGATAGCCTCCAGACCACTAGCCTCACACCCCTGGCCTCCAGACCACTAGTCTTCCACCACTAGTCTCAGACCCCTGGCCTCCAGACCACTAGCTTTCAGACCACTAGCCGTGCCGACCACCGTACCGGCTTTGTCCGTACCCACTCACTACAGATCGAGCTAGAAGAAGAAGGGAGAACAGAGCAAGCACGCATAATACAAGACAACAACGTTGGCCGAGGCCCTGTCTGTGTGATGGTAAATCTGAGCTATCTTTACTGAGTTGCCTTGGTGCCCTATTTATACAACTCTATCTATCTAATTAAAGTACAGCGCACATGCTGTAACAGTAACTAGATAAGCATACAAGGCTGACTTTATACCGCCAACGCATGTGCCTATAGTGTCAGCGGAGGTGAGCTGTCTGGCGTCTGCACTGCATGACTCTGATATCACAGCAGGGGGCAAAGTCGGCGCCGTCTTCCTCTGCTGTGTTCACACAAGGTGACAGTAGATTAGCTAACAAAGCTGTCGCAACCAAGCCAGATGATGCAAAATAAGACATGGTTTTCCTGTTTGGTCACTATTACAAAAGGTGAAGAAACTTGATGGAGAGAGGGATTTAGCCAGGTCACCCAGGCCTCGGGTGCCGATCTGACAGCTGAGATTGAGTTATGCCATAGGGCGGGCAGCTGTACAGTTTTTTTGTCTTTCCTTTTTTACATATCTAAATATACAGTACATTGACTTAGTACGATCTTGTTATAAATCATTTGTGTATGAGATATGAGAAAACATTATATAACCCTAGTAAAACTTAACAGTTGTTAGAAACACCGAATTGCTGAGGAAATGTTGTAAATAATTGATAATTATATACTTTGTTACCAGGTCAAAAAAGTTGGAAAAGTTTTTCGAGCAATTGCTATCATGAGTCATCCCATTCCAAATACTGCTGAATCGCACTCAGTTCAGATTATACTACCACAGAAGCAGCTTGGCCGTAAATCAGACATGTAAGTATTTCTTATGTTGCCTCAAACTTTGATCCACTAATTGGTTGTTTCACGTTAACATATTTATTTCACCTTTCATTTTGTTTCTGATAAAACAATGTCCTTGTTTGTATGCAAGGTATGTTTTCTGTTGCTCCTACTCTCATAACGTCGCATCAAAGGGGAAGTTCATTGCATTCGTGTCCGCACAAGCAGAGACTGATAATCTACAGACAGAACTGAAGCCTGGGATCGATCTTCTTGAGCCAGTGGATGAGTTATTTTTGGACACATATGACAGATATGAACCTACTAATGACTCGTCATCAGACAATTGTTACATCTCAACAGTAAGTAACTTGGGACAAGCTTGCTACTAGACATTAGAGAACGGGCACTGTCCTTCGCAGTTAGCACTTCAAATCTACTGTGCTAAAAGACCCAAAGCTTCATGCTTTACATCATGAGCATTTTGAAATTGGATTCATTGCCCCCATGTCAGTTGATCACATCCGTAGCTGCTTGCCATTCTGTTACTTTAGTTGCTTGTTTCTCAGCTGTCATTTTGACTAGTTCCATTCTCCCAAATGGCTTTGCAGGTGGACCTTTCTATTGGTCACCATATATTTAGCAGTATGTTCACTGCTTCCGTCCGTTTTGCCTTACAACTTAATAACTGCAAAATGTTACCTTTTGTTGATTTCACCTTTTTGTGTTTGCGTGTTACTCTTAGTTTGCAACAGACATATCAGCTCATGGATGTTGGGTGTACTCAAAGAAAATCTCAAGGAAAGCTGATGAATCCCATGGATTTCTTAATTATGATGTTGAAAATCGTGGCCTTTCCACTTCTATATCTGTAGAGTTGAAAAAGGATGAGACAAATAAGTTGCCAAGCTATTATGAACAAATAGTGAATGAGAAAAGAGCTGGGTTCTGGGGATGTTGCATGCAAATCATATACTAGGTTTGGACTGGACTATATATACTTTTCCTTGTTAAGAGTTACGTGTCTGTATGTTTTGTGCCATCCTGATAGTTTTGCCAATTCAGTGTTGCTATTGTTTGGAATGTGCCGCAGCAGCATTTGATGATTAAGTCACAGCATCATGTTTGATAATTGGTTCTGTACTAAATGATAGTCCTATACGGCTATACTGCATTTGTTCATCTTATTTAGTTTCTTTTGAGTTGTTGCTATGCAGCTGCTATGATCATTGCTACCTTTTTGTGTTCTACATTTGAAAAAGTTCAAAACGATTTCATGCCTAAAACTATTGAATTTCTTAGTTTTTTTTCCCTTGGCATCCTTTACCAATTTCCTTTCCTAAAATACTTCTATCACCACAACGCAAAGCTTCTGCCTGCTAATGAACTCCTGAGATACAGGGCATGTGTATTGCTGTTGCCTGATATTCTTTGCCTATATGCAGACTAGTGCAGGCGCAACAATTTTGACTGATGTCACATTTTGGGGGCTCCTTGTGCCATTTTTCTACCGTGACAAGTTTGGGTTAGCATTGGTATGTGAACATTCTGATTTGTGTACATATTCTTTCATGTTCTTCTTCAGTAGTACTAGACATTAGCAAGCCTCATAGTCCAGTTATATATTTTGATTGTTGCTATCCTGACTTGATAACAGGCACAACTTTCATGCTTTTTTATATCAATATCACATTGGTATAAAGTACTAACCATTTTATTGAGTGATAGAAAAACACTCTACAAACTCGAAACTTTGAAATCAAATAGTCGGTGTTGAACATGTCATCACGTCAATAAGCAAAGCCTGTTGGCTATTTGGTAGAGCAATTAGCAATCCATGGATTTTCTGAATGCTGCTCACCTTCCAACTGAAGCCCTTATAGAGGTGAATCTATTTTTTTTTTTGGAAACAAGGCAGGAGCTCTGTGTAACGACCCCAAATATCAAATCATGATCAACATGTAATAACGAGCATCATGAGCATCATTAGCACATAATAAGGCATCATGACATAAGCATTTGTGTGCACTTGTGAATTATCGAATATTGATTAAATTGTGTCCTTGTGAAGAAAATTCAAATTTTGTGTTGCAACTGTGCTGGGTTAAAATTTTATAAAATACTAGATTCCAAATGTGAATTTTAGAGTATTTTTCCAAGATTTTTGGAGTTCATTTAATGGGGTTAAAAATGCATGCAAAATTAAAAAATGAGTCTTTTTGAATTCAAACCGCGGCCAAACCAAAATTTGGTTTCAACTTCTTCAAGTTGCAAAGTGTTCTTTGTTTTCTAAGCTTTCCAAAATGCATTTATTTGTGATTTTTGGACTTCGGGAGCTATTTCTTTTTGAAGCAAAACATTTGAACTACATTTTCAAAACCCGAGTCCCTTACGCGTGGGTCCCGCTCGTCAGCAGGCTTCTTCCACCTCTGGCTCCCTCTCTCTTCCACCTGGAGACCGAACACAGGAGCCCCTCGCCACCTCTCCACCATGCATCGGTCCTCGTCGGCCTGGGCACGCGAAATGCCGCTCTTGCCCCGCTCGGCCTCCTCCTATTTAAGCCCCAACCGGCCGGCTCCTTTCCCCCATCCAAACCCTAACCCGTTCCCCTCCATTGCCGCCGCCACCACTGAGCTCGAACCGAGCTCTGCTCCACCGCGATTTCCCCACTGCAGCTCGCCCCTCTTCGATTCGACCCCACCCACACCATCTCCTCCGCGCACCGAGTCTTCCCGAGCCGCTCAGCACCACCGCCTGCCTCCCAGTCGAGCTCGCCACCGCCGCCGTGCGTTCTGCTCCGCCGCCGCACGCCACCACCCTCGCTCCGAGCACCATTCTCCAATCCAAGGTATAAAACAGAAAGCCCTCGGCCTCCTCATGCTCACTGTGCCTTCCTTCCTCGCCGGAACCTCGCCGCCGGCGAGGAATCGCCGGTCAAAACCGCCGGCTTCAATTTTGACCGTGCCGAGTCACTGACCGAGCGGTCCCACGAGTCAACCTCTGTGTGCGCTGGCCGAGCCGCGTAGATCTAGGGTTCTTTAGGGTCTTTTTTGCAAAAGCGTCTTTACCTTTGTTTAAATCGGCTGCAATCTTGGAAAATGCATAGAAAATTGTGTGGTGCTCCAAAAATTGTGATTCTTGTTTCGTTGGACTCCTTATGAGATGTAGTTTGATACAAAAATGTGTTTGCATGTTGTACTGTTGTGTAGATTTATCTATGATTTAGATTGTTCTAATCTTGTTAAATGCATATTAAATCATAGGTGACTCCAAAAATGATAGATCCAATTTTGCTAGATGCTCTAGGTCATGTATTCACTAGATCTATAGCTTAACACCAAAGTTCACATGTTTATACCTCTCTTTTACTTTAAATACTTGCTTGCTGCCTGAAAATCAATTAATGCTTTATAAATAGCTCAAAAATGATAAAATGATGAAACCACTTTTTTTTAGTCTTGTTTCTCTGTTTAGTATCTAGGAAAAATGTTCTACCTAATTTTTATGATGTTTAACATGCCTTTTTAGAATTAACTTGTTTCATGATGATTAACTTGTTTAATTAATATTTAAACATGCATAATTGCTTTTGATACAAAACCAACTCTGTTAATCATGTTTTAACAGTGAGCTCATGATATGTCTAAGTTAAACCTTAATTCCATGTTTAGAATTTATTTGTGTATTTCTATGCTTGCTAGTAGTTTAATCATTTCCGATAATCCTTGATTGTCATTTCATGTCTTTTGAGTGTTTTAGTTATCTTGCTGTGACGCTTTTAATCATCATGCACCTTTCATTCATCTCATGCTCATTCACATCATGGCATCATCTCTAATGCATGCATGCATTCATCCTACAGGGGGTGGGGGTCACGTTGGGCTGCTGCAGCTCAGCGGCCTGCTCCCCGAGGCCTGGCCGACGGGCTCTGTGAGGCTCTTCCTGTTTCCTCCGTGAAGATGATGTCCTGCTGGAGCAAGTCTGCTCGCCGCGCAGTGAGGTTGGTTTGTCGGGACACGAAAAGGGCGCTCGAGTAGCTATAAATGGAGCCCCCTGGGGTCTTCGGTACACGCTGTGTTTAGTTGGAGGGAAAGTTGGAATTTGGGTACTGTAGTATTTTTGTTTTTATTTGGCAAATAGTGTTTAATCATGGACTAATTAGGCTCAAAACGTTCGTCTCACGATTTCCAACCAAGCTGTGCAATTAGTTTTTTTTTCGTCTACATTTAATGCTCTATACACATATCGCAAGATTCGATGTAATGGGTACTGTAGCACTTTTTTAGAACTTTTTTTTTGCAACTAAACACGCACTAACTTTACTCGGGTCGGAGGTGAGTCCAGTTTAATCATAATGGGTACATGGTTGGCTCGTGCGCGTCCTCCCGATAAGAAGGCCGCTGATTCATCCAGCATCTGGTGCTGTGCTAGAAGAATGCTTGCGAGCGGCAGAGGATCTCCTTCGGGAGCCGGCTGTGGTCCGGGCCCCTTCCACGCCCGGTCACTTGGGAAACTCGCACAGGTGACCGAGGGGAGAGGGTGCCCGAGCTGGTCACCTTCCGTGTCCGAACGCCGCCACCCTCTCTCTTAACTCTTTGGGGGACGGAGAGAGGCCTGCCTCCTCCTGGCGTGCTTGCTCTTGTGCATTTCCGCTGTTTGTATTCAGGGTTTCTCTCGATCGGCTGCGTCTCTCTTGTGTGCGTACTGTTTGTTTCTGTGGCAGTCGATTGATCGATCCGATACGTGCAGAAATAGCTAACCTTGTTCAGGGACGCAATCATGTGTACTAGCGGCAAGAAATGGTGCGTCGATCTGGTTCAAACTGGTAGTTAATTGTATCCGGAAATAAACACGTCTCATTGATTTGTCCAAACGAGATTTCACGTGCCTAGATAAATTACAAGCGGCAAGAGATTTGCAGGCTAGATTACACATGCCATTTTTACGGCAAATTAAACATGATCGTCTATGTATTTATCAGGGGAGTAGGGTCAACTTGAATTCAGGTATTAAGTTGAATACCTAATTCTTTTTAAAAAAAATAAATAAATTTATATATAGTATATGGCATGTACATAAATTTAAAAAAAATAAAAAAATGACACAAGTAACACCATACCTATCCCTCTTGCAGCCCAAAAACCATTCTACTGCGCACCTACAAACTTCAATGGACTATATAGAAAAACAAGCAAAGAAGCAAGATACAGAAAAAGAAATACTTGAAAAGATTGCTTGCTTACAATTGTTGTAAGGCAATTCTTTTTGCAACAGGTTAATGACTAGGACATCATTACTCATTTCCGAAACACGAAGGATCAGAAAGTTGTCCTATAGTTTGTAAGCTTTCTTATCATTTTGCTGTTTTACATCCTCTGCGTTTCAGGCATTGCCACTTTAATATGTTGAACAATTAGTACCTCTATATGTTGAACATTTGGGATCACTTTTGTGTTTTATCTTTTTGCATATTATACAATTTGTCTTACGACTAGGTGATGCTCTATATCAAGTACACATGATAAAGGCTATGATTTAGGCTATAAAAACTTTAACACTTCAAAAATTTGTATACTCAGACTCAAAATCCAAGGTGCGGCTCTGGTATTGATGTGTCAGATATTAATCATGGTGTGTGGCACCAAGGCCCTACAGCTGATTTCTGGTGTTTTGCTTCTATCGATCCTTCAGGAGTCGGTAAATTAATACGCCTACCATATTGCCAGGCTGCTAGGCACCAGGAGTGCTGAGTATGGAAAAGCTATAAACAGGACTTGCTGAGCATTTACAGGCTGTTTAAATGGTAGACTTGATACAGAGTTCATCCTGAATCGCAATCTAGGATTCTTTTATCATCGTCTATAACAAACATAAACAGCCTGATCGCTGGGCTGGGGCTGGCTGGCCAGCCCCCTCACATGGCTACTATTTACGCGAACCAGCCAGCAGTACTTCTCTCTCATATAAACGAACCAGCAACGATACGAACTAGCCAACCGAACAGGCTGAAAGCTCAAAATTGGGCACATGTAGCCATCTATATTTCAGGTCATGTGGGTTTACCAATTATTGGTTCTTGTTTGGTATATTTATACATCGTATTATATGCTCCCAATGTCATATTTCTCATGCCAACAAATATTGACTAACATATGATATGCTACTAATTCATTTATAATATCTTATATGAATTTTCAGTATAAAAGTTTATTAAACAACCACTAAATCTTAATAGTTAGACCCTGCAAAGCCAATATTCGAGTGGAAAAACTACAACCACAATGTCGTCAACACCAGTGGCCCTGTTGTGTAAATCAACACACATCTACCCGCCACAGAACCGCCCCCAGGCCACAGAGCTCTCAAACCAGATCTTAGAAAAAAATGACAAATCTAGCAAGGGAGGATCCTTGTGTGGTTCCAGGAGCGATTGACAGGCGACACGTATATATATCATATGTGGGAGGGTCACGGCCCCTGCTAGCCTGTTTTGAAGTGGTGTTCAAGCGAGGGCTAGTGAGTTGGCTCCCTCCATCTAGCACAAGACATAACAGATAGCTGGGTGCAATCACTTGGGGGTATATGAAG